TGGGAGAAAACTTACGGACTTTTTTTGGAACATTACCCATACCGGCGAATATTTCCTTAGGAGGGCTCGAAGCTAAAGTCATGATCAAAGAAGAGCATGATGAAAAGTTGAACCCGTCTTTGGTAGGTTGAGCTCCTCAAAGAGATTAACAGAGCCGGAAAGGGCATCGTTATGACACTTGCTGTAGGACTACCAGGACTATTGACTCCATACAGTACATTTGGATCTGGGTAGCTCGGATTGAACTTTGGGAGCTTCTCGCTATCCTTAACAACACTCGTAGTTCAAAAACCCTGGTATTTTCGTTAGCTGTGCTCAACGTAATGAACTTAAAACTTGTACTATTGAGTAGAGCAATAAGGTTAGGGACGTTTTTAGCGGATTACGGTAAACCAGAAAAAAATAGATGAATCAGGAAATATCTCAACGGGCTATTGAGGAATGGTGGTTGGAAAAGCCATGCTACTCCGTCTGCTTTTTTTATCGCATTTATCAAATGACATCCGAAATGCATCGACGTGTCGCAGCAAGATCTTTTATGGTTAGCCGTCTATCTCAGCGATAGTGGACCTCAATACGAACACATTAGCGTTCGGGAATGACTTCGCGAAATTACCGGACTACGGTCACTCAGCGTTTTATAGGCACTTATGCTGGGAGACGTGAAGGCAAAGATATGGCCGCCGTCGGAGGATGGGAACGAAAATTGAGTACAGGTATCTGGTTCTTACGGTGACCTTACAGTAGGCTATGTGGGTTACAGTGGACGAGAATTCCGTGCACTAATTCTTCTTTTACAGTGGCCTTACAGTAGATTAATACCCTAATTTAAGGCATGTTGCTAGTGAACACTCATTTAAGCAAAAATTTAAAAGAGAAACAGTGTGCGAACTGGGTTTCCGCATAGAATTTCCATTCCAGAAGAGCCTGAGAAGCTTAGTTTGTGTTTTTTTGAGAACAGTTCCATGATGATTCTGTCACCACAAAGTTTTGACAACACTAGTCCAAGCCACCGTCGTCTCTGGCTCTGTGATTAGTCTAAAAATCCTACTGAACACAAAGCTGGTGTAAGTAGATCGGCTTTTCGGAGTCATTGACTTTAAAAAATAGCCCTGGAGCTCTCCTAGCCACCTGGGTTGATACTGTAGGAACCTACAGGACAAAACTCTCCAAGGTCAATTCCCTCTAGAGTTGAGCTATACCTTGGACTTCAATCAAACAATAATAGTTTTCACCAGTGGTTTGACCTGTACAGTTGCCAAAAAGGATATCTTGGTACATATCCCAACGTAGTTTTCCTCCAAGATGGGTCTAACACTGAGTGGTCCACCTGAACGGGAAGGGAGCATGGCCGATCACAGCAGGTTCAGTTGGAACGCTGAAGTTCCGTGAGGCACAGGTACATATGGGTTGGTGATCTTTGTAGGCCGGCTGTTACTCCTGAATTATGCCATATGCGATCTAAACGAGTATAACAAGATGTCGTACCAAGGGTGGAAATGCCTGACTAATTCAGTGCAAATGGCTCATTTCCTGTATTTTTTGCATGGCTACCCATTTGACCCAAATGTTCCTTGACCTCCGAAAGCCCAACTCCCTCACCATGCACGCGGGCTTAGAAAGTCACCTTGACTTTTTAGCCGCACCCATTATCTCTGCAGAACAGAAAAATCATTATATCCGATTTCATTCTCAGAAATACGATGAATTTCAAGGGAAATAGCCATATAAGGGGAAGTGGCTGTGCTTGAATGGAAATGAGTCCTAGCGGCACACGGGAAGTCAATTTACTGAGATTCTAGAATGAGATATGCTCAAATTGGATGCATACGATGCATTGGAAAAAATAGTCGGTGAGAATTCTGAATAGGGCCTTCCATTAAGCTTTGTCCTTCTTACTGCTCTCGATGAATGAAGAAGAACTGAGGGGCAGATTTCAATTGAGACGTAGCTCAGGGGCATACGAACCTTCTGGTAATGCTGAAAGTTTTGTAGAAGTATAATTTATCTCACATCAGTTTCCGTTTAGCTACAGTACTCCTCCTGACATAGTCATCCTCACCTCGAAATTATTCTAGATAGTTGGGCAGGGGTCAAGCGTGTGGTTCACACTAAAATGTTCTATGGAGTGATCTGGAACTATAAAAAACCCAAAGCAGTTCGTCTTTATGAATTCGAGAAGTGCCGGTTAAAGAGCAGACAGAGTAGATGGCACTGCCCTAGTTCAGTTCATGGATCGAGTTGCCATTCAAACAGAACCCAAAGCAGATTACCTTCCTGAACTGGTGTCAGCCTCATCCGGAAAAACAATCATCATCTGGGAGGGAGGACGCATTTATATGTCCAATAACCATCTTGAGGATTCTTGTATGTTACCCTAACGGCCACCATGTGAGTGGCTCATCCTTATAGGAGGCTGACCGCTCACACTGGCCTACATACTCTTTGCCTGAACCTACTTATTACCTTCAAAGTTCGAAAACTATCAAAGTGTAATGTCAACGGATGATTTTTGGCTTTGCAATACTTGACTGAGGCTTTTTGCTGCCTTTTACACTTGAGACTTACACAAAACTTCAGCAAATCACTCAAACTGCCGTCGTTCGTTGGCAAAGCTGTTGGGAGGAGACGTTTTTCGGTCTAATAGAAGAAGACACATTGCTGCCAGGACGCGACGCGATATTTCTCCCGTCAATTCTCGATGGAATGGGAAACGAGTGGGAATCAAACCTTCATGAAAGGGGGGGGGGGAGGGGGAATGAAGCTCGGAAGGCCTTTATGAAGGTGCAGGAAAAAGCGTTCGACCCTGGTGGGGTGCAG